AGTTGGGGGTTAATGGGGGGATGAGGACACATTTGTAATACCTTAATCAATAAAGAAATTAAAGATTAAAAAAAAAGAAAGAAAAAGAGGCATTATGGCTAGGCATTCTGGGAAACCCTTCCTCACACCAGGGACGCAGGATTTCTGGGGTGAAAGACTGTCATAAAATTAGAGCAAAGCGGGAACCAAGGCACCATTTCATTGTTTGGCTAAGATTCTGCTGAGAGATATTATTTTAAAATTTGCATATGTCACCTTATGTAAGAATCTGTTGGGACCTCTATTAATTTCTAAACCCCAAATCTCACTGTAGCAATCAGAGGAGGTAATGAGCATGCCCTAGGATGTGTCTGAGGATAAAAGGAGATAAGATGGTTTGGAGGAACTGAGACAGAAGGTGGAAGCCAGGCAAGTCAACAAGGGTGTGCACTAAGTAGCAGTGGTAATTTAGAGGCCGGAAGTCCAGGATCAAGGTGCCAGCAGAATTTGTGTCTGGTGAGAACCCACTCCCTTAGTCATAGAAAATGTTCTCGCCGTGACCTCACAAGGTGGAAAAGCTCTGGGATCTTCCTCTTCTTATAAGGCTGCAGATCCCAGCGTGGGGGCTCTACCCTCATGACCTTATCTAAACCTCATCACTTCCCAAAGGCCTCCCCTCCTGATACCATCGCAATGAGGATTAGGCTTCATCATATGAATTTTTTTGGGGTGGCGGGGGACACAGCATTTAGTCCATAGCAGATGGCTTCTTTGCCCTGTGTTTGTCGTCTCTTTCACTGAACCTTCGACTGGAACAAGTACAAATTCTGATCTTGTATGCAGTGAACACATTCGACATGTGTTTTTATGTCACCTTTAGACAGGAGCTTTCACATGGGATAGTTCTTAGTCAGTTGCAAGATGGAGAGATTAGGGTGCAGCCCAAGAGGCCAGGACAAGAGCAGAATCACCGTAGCTCTGGTGCAAGAAGTGCTTGGGAAAAGAGAAAAGCAGCATTGTTGTAACCTCAGGTGCTCCCAGTGATTATCTTTGCGAAGCACTTGCAAGATGTGTAATGAAATGAGTGCTGCAGATACTGTCAGATTCCCCAGGAGGAGGAGAGAGGACTATTCGAGCACAGAGATTTTCATTTATTTCCAGGGAAGGGGGAATGATATACGTTCACCTTGTGATTTTTCCCCCCTGACCTCATATAGGGCAGTGCTTGGAATACAAATCGGGAAATCTGAACGATTCCAATTCTTTATGTAATTCCATGGGGAAGATGTTATAGTGACCTTCCATAAATGCTCTGAAAATTGAATGATAAACGACAGAGATGTGGAACCATGGTCTTCCTTTGGGCATCCTGTGGGTTGTGAGAAGCTGAACTGTTGAAACTGGAATGATAAATCCATGAGATAGTTCTTTTTAGTTGTGTTCTTTGACTGTAATGCTTATAATACTAATTCACCCCAGGAATTAAGGTTATCTTTTATTTTTAGTGGTGATAAAGGTCATTGTTTCTTCTCTATAGGTTTTCCATCTATTTCTATGTAATAGAACTCCCTGTTGGCTCCTGTTGTAACCCAAGGGGTTTAGGATGGGGAAAAACAGTTTATTTCAAACATTTCTAACTTACTTGGGCTTTGGAGTCAGGCCAACTGGGTTCATATCTCAGCTTTATCACTTATTGGCCATGTATCTTTGTAAAATAAACTTATCCGAGCCCTAGTTTTCCTACCTATAAAGTGGGGATAATATCTATCTCCCAAAGACTATATAGGATAATGTAAATTGCTTAGTACAGTACTTGGCACATGGTGCATACTCAATAAATGGTAGCCATTATTAATTTGACTTTGACACCAGGCTATTTTAAAAGGAAAATAGACATATGTGTTGGATAGAAGGTGAAAGAAGACATAGGCAAAGAAGGATGCAGTGGCACCTACTTTCCATTTCCACCTCAACCCTCACCCATGGTCCCAGGTCAGGGTACTGCAACGGTCTGAGTATTCTTCCTTGAGATGGATGAGGACTACTTTGGATCATGGCTTTGACTTCTACCAGTTTCCCATCTTCAGGTGTCTTCCTAAAAAGGGAAAACCAAGGCCTCAAGAGCCATTTGGGATCTCAGTGGGTTATCTGAACAAATAAGAGCATCTAAGACTGTGGTTCCATCAAAGGCATCCCGCCCAGACTCTTCTCATCAGAATCTGTTTTTCACACATGCTCATGCCCCCCAAGGTCATTACAGAAGAGCTGGGGTTTATTTTGTAACAAGCCTCATCACTCTTAAGACCACTAATTGCAAGCTCAATGTCCAAATTTTCATTGACTCCGTTTTTTGTTTTTGTTTTTTTCTTGTTTAAGGATAAATTTTATTAGCATCTGGAGCTAAAGGCATCCTGACTGTGGCCAGTAGGACATTGTTACTTTTCCTTTTCTTTTATTGCCAGAGGGCTTGTAATTAATAAGACTTGACTTTTGCTCTTCTATCTCCATCTTCCATGGCAAAATAATTACCAACAGAACTTGTAGAAATTCCTTCTTTAGGAGATGTTCACACTTGACTTGTCCTTCTCTTAAAGACTCCTCCCATTTCCCTACAACTGTAATCCATAATGGCTGAATATTGGGGGGTTCAGGGGTGGGAGGTGGACTTTGAAAATGAATGAAAATACAACTGCATTTGTTATTTTAAAATTTGATTTTAAATATTCATTAAACTATCATGCCATACCTATTTAAACAGTATTTGCCATCATGAGAATTCAATCCAGCAAATGTGTACGGCCCAGTATATTTAAACAGTATTTGCCATCATGAGAATTCAATCCAACAAATATTTATTGAGAACTACTCTGTGTATGGCCCAGTGCTCCAGTGACTTTTACTCTTCTATCTCCATCTTCCATGGCAAAATAATTACCAACGGAACTTGTAGAAATTCCTTCTTTAGGAGATGTTCACACTTGACTTGTCCTTCTCTTAAATTCTCCTCCCATTTCCCTACAACTGTAATCTATAATGGCTGAACATTGGCGGGTTCAGGGGTGGGAGGTGGACTTTGAACATGAATGAAAATACAACTGCATTTGTTATTTTAAAATTTGATTTTAAATATTCATTAAACTATCATGCCATACCTATTTAAACAGTATTTGCCATCATGAGAATTCAATCCAGCAAATGTGTACGGCCCAGTAGAAGACACAACTGAGAACAGAAAGCGGAGAGAGGCAGAGTCCCTCACCTCAAGTGTATTAGGATGTACTGGGAGGAGAGGTATAATTAAGAAAGAGGCCCAAGACTAGGCTTTACAGAAATGAAATCCCAGGGACAGTTGGGCACCTGACTCTAGTAGGCAGTGGAATTCTAAGGAAGCTTGTCCACTTGCTTTGAGTTCTAATGGGAAGTATGTTTCTGTTTCATCTATAGGAACGATCTGACAGACGTTTTTTGTATGTAGCCACAGACTTTCCACCCAGTTCTTTGTTTTCCAAGATGTGCAGTATGGCAGTACTTGACATTTATTTTAAGAAACAACATTATAACATACTGAATTACACAGTGAAAATTTATTTCTATTCCAATTTTATTTATATTAAATGAAGAGTCTCAGTGTGATGTTAGTCTGATTTAATGCCACTCCAGCACTTGCTAAGCTTCCTTTTTAGTAAAGAGAGAACAGGACACAGGTTCTTAGTCTTTAGCAGTCAACAATATATAGAGAGAAGTCAAAGTTGTTTTGTCTTTGTTATTTTTAAATTTTCATTGTTAGTAGGATTGATGGCAAGTGATACTAGCAGTATTTATAGCAGAGATTTAATAATTTAAGAAATTATTTCAACTGAAAAGTTTAGTTGTCTGTAAGAAAACAATTTTATAGGAGGAACTCGGTTGTGGCAAAAATAATGAAGACACATTATTTATTTTTTTGTTGCTGTTGTTTTTATATGATGTAAGTTTAGAAAACTCCGCTTCACCCATAGGAAAGATCTGACCGATGTTTTAAGCCCTACTTTACAAATGATAGAACTAAGGCACTTGTAGAGTGTGAATTGAACACTTACATATTCATTTTTTTATTTTTCAATTACGGACATACAATATTATATTAGTTGCAGGTGTACAACATAGTGAATAGACATTTATATAACTTATGAAGTAATGCACTCCGCTTCACCCATAGGAAAGATCTGACCGATGTTTTAAGCCCTACTTTACAAATGATAGAACTAAGGCACTTGTAGAGTGTGAATTGAACACTTACATATTCATTTTTTTATTTTTCAATTACGGACATACAATATTATATTAGTTGCAGGTGTACAACATAGTGATTAGACATTTATATAACTTATGAAGTAATGTCCCTGATAAGTCTTGCACCCATCTGACACCATACATAGTTACTATAATATTATTAACTATATTCCCTGTGCTGTACATTACATCCCTATGTTTTGTAAATGGCAATTTGTGCTTCTTAACCTGTTCCTTTTTGCACCCATTCTCCCTTTTCCCTCCCATCTGGCAACCATTAATTTGTTTTCTGTATCTATGAGTTTTGAGCACTTACATATTAAGATCTGATACTGACATCTCTCTAAGTTAATGAAGCAAGTCATACACTTAATTCAGAGATAGGATCAGTACTAGATTTCAGCCTCCTGACTTGTATTCTTTTCAAGATGTAATCCTGAAGATGACTGGATATCCTTCTCTTCCCTAATCACACACCCAATCTATGTGAATTGGTGAAACACACACACACACACACACACACCACACACACACACACACACACACACACACACGCTGATAAAGAAAGAGAAAAGAATTCATCTCAAACCCACCACCAAGATTATGCTTGCTTGCATTTTGGCATGTTCATTCATCCATGTATCTGCACATCCATATATCCATTCATCCTTTCACTAATTTACTCCCTAAGAAATTATTCATTTCTTTAAAAAGTACTTATTAGCCATCTGATGTGTACCAGACACTGTTTTAGGTGCTGGGGACACAGGTGTGCAAAACAGAAAAACATCCTTACCCTTGACGTGCTTTCCATATTCTTCTTTTTCTAGGCATATATGTATGAAGTGACTTAAAAAATAATATTGCTACAACACAATATAATTGCATTACATACTTTTATAAGTAATATAAAGGTCTTTCTGGGTCAACATGCAGACTTACATCATTCATTTTAATATCCATAGACCATTTTACTGAAGTATAATTGCATAAAAGGAGGATTATTGACCAGTTTGCCATCTTTGGACTTTGGGTTATTTTTGTCTTTTCCAATGTGATGACCAATGCTGTGCCAGTGTAAAGCTTTCTGTCTCTCTGATGGCCCTGCGCCCAATTCCAGTTCCACCATCGACAGCGTGTGTGGCTCTGGTCAGGCTATTTTAACCACTTGGAGCCTTTGTGTCCTCATCTTTTAAATGGGGCCAATAAAATCATTTCTCTCATAGGGTTTCTGCAGGGAGTAAAGTTTGTTCTATCAAGAAGAGTATGTTAAACAGTTAGTTCTATTGACAAGAATAGGTATTATTTGGTGATATTAACTATGATGATGACGGCAGTAATTTTTTCTCCCTTGCATTTTTATTATTTATATCTTAATGGATAGACTTAATGGCTTCTGTTTGAGCTTTGTACTTACATCTATCACAGCTCCTATTGCATTGTGCATAGAAGTCAGCTAAACTAGTTGGTAAGCTTTTGAAGATGGCGACTGTGTCCCGCTGACCTCTAAATCTGGTGTACCCAGCACAATATAGGTGCTGATAAATACCAGTCACGGGATACCCTGTGGCTTTATTAATTTTCTTAGTAGAATGTAAGGTCTTTGAAGGCAGGACCATGTCTGCTTGTTCAGTGTTGAATCTCTAGTGGTTGGTAGGCTCTCAGTAGTTCAGGTTGAATGAGTGAATGAATAAATGGGTGAATGAATGAAGCAGTGAAACAGGGAGGAAGAGATGGTTTCACTATTCAGTGTTTGAGAACAGGCCATGAGCAAAGGAGGCATGATAAATACCAGTCACGGGATACCCTGTGGCTTTATTAATTTTCTTAGTAGAATGTAAGGTCTTTGAAGGCAGGACCATGTCTGCTTGTTCAGTGTTGAATCTCTAGTGGTTGGTAGGCTCTCAGTAGTTCAGGTTGAATGAGTGAATGAATGAATGAAACTGTGAAACAGGGAGGAAGAGATGGTTTCACTATTCAGTGTTAGAGAACAGGCCATGAGCAAAGGAGGCGCTAGTCACTGGCCAGATCTGTTAGCAGCTTGTCTGATCTGCTCTTTTTTGGCAAACACACTGCAACAGGTCCCACTTGAGTACTTCTGCCTTGATTGATCATCTTCTTTGTGATAAAAGGAAGGAAAATCATTATGGCACAAGTGTCTTGTCATTCCACATGCCTGTGCTCGTGATAAATGTTTCCCACTCATGAAGCCGTAGGAGGAAGTCTGGAGGAAATGATTGCTATCCTGGCTTAACCCGGAGCAAGTTCATCAATAGACAACTCCCACAATTTCTACCGCTCAGCATTAATCTTTTTCTTGCAGGCTGAGGAAGAAAGGGCTTTTGACTTCAAGACAAAGAAAGCTTCTACCAAATTTCCTTTTCTGTCATTTGTACATTGTTGTGAAGAGATGGACAGGAGGGAACTCCATCAATGGAAAGGCGCTTGGTACTATGGGAACTTTCAAGTGCTTTTTGGTGGGAGTATTTGGCATGCTGCAGCCAAGTTCATAACATACATTTCCAATAACCCAGCAATTAGATTCCTAAGTATTTACCTAGACAGGTGCATGCATTTGTGCACCAGGAAGGTTCAGGACAGCATTGTTTATAATAGGCCAAACTATGAGCAAGATTAAATATTCTTGCCCTGGCTGGTGTGGCTCAGTTGGGCACTGTACTGAAAGGTTGCCAATTCGATTCCCAGTCAAGGCACAGGCCCAGTTGCAAGTTTGATCCCCTGAAGGGGGCTTGCAGGAGGCAGCAGATCGATGCTATGCTCTTACATCGATGTTTTTCTCTCTCTTTTCCTCTCTAAAAATCA